TCTAGAGATACTACTTTACATCTCAGTTTGATCATTAGTTAAAATGAGAGTTTTGATCCTCATAAACACTTTCCAATGCTAGAATGAAGTAAACAACTCAAGCATTTAATTTCAAATATTTCTTGGGAGAGTACAAACAACATGTGCTAACCACAGGGGATTGAGGCTCAGGTCAATTTATATTAACACGTTTGTGTTGAGAACCTACTATATATGAAAATGAGCAAGACACTGTTGCTATTTTCAAGGAGTTCATAATCTAAGGGAAGTCAAATCATTATTATTCATAGCAGAATATAACTGCTATCGACAAGATGTGAAATGCTATGTAAAGTAAGTTAAGTGATTTCCGCTTCTGCCCAAAGAATTATAGCTAATAAGTCAACAAAAGGGACAAAATAGAATCATAAAAATAATGTAAAAGTATAGAGAAAAAAGAAAAAAAAAAACAAGAACAGAGGAGAAACAGAAGACAAAGAAAAAGGTGGTGTATTTAATTTAATCTTAATCATGTCAATAATTACAGTAAATACAAATGGTCCAAGAAGGGGGAAGGTACAAACCGTTCTGTAAAAGTTTCATGCATGAGGTGCATTTCTCAGAGGCCTTTAAAGATAGGACAGAATTTTAACAGGAAGAGATAAAAAAAAAAAACACATCGGGCATGTTCTGAGGAGGTCCTACAACGTAAAATGATGAAAATGCAAAATCTATTTTATGAACAATAAGTCATTGACATGAGCTAGTGTACAATTGAGACATGGAGTACTGAAAAATAACACTGAAATTATGTTAGGACCATAATTGGAGCCCAAGAGAGAAGTTTGTAATCAAATTGGAAATTAGTGGAAAATTGCTGGAAGTGATAAAACTGGAGCTAGGTTTTGAATAGCTTGAAAATGATCAATGCTACAGTAGATTAAATCAGGATATAATGAAGATACACTTTGCTAAGAGAAACTTCATCTAATATCCGTTTAAGGTACAGCAAGAAAGACATAGTTAAAGTAGATGAATTAATATACCAAGTCAGGTAGAAGTTGGGATGGAGTGAGCAAGGCACGAACCAAGAACACCCATGTATAGAGGTTTTTATTTGAAGCATCTTAAAGGTGGCACGTGTAATAGGACATGTGATGGGAAAATGAGCATGAGTTAGAAGGAACTGTGATAAATATTATGAGCTACTAAACTTTAAAAAACCAGAAATAGCTAATGTTAGAGCAAAATGAACTAAGAATGTCAAGGCATCCTCTTCACAACAGAGTATATAGTGGGTGGAGGATACAGAGGTCCTTCTACATCCTGAGTACATTTGGTGTATTTTAATTAATTGAAGTAATTTAATGTTTTGTCAAGAAGGAATGTACTTAAAAGTTCAACCTCTAAAATCATCTTTCTATTTTATCCAATGTTTCATGTCCTGTAAATAGCAAAATTTCAACCCATTATGCTTTGAAGATAAGGTTAAGCCAAATAGTGCAGCAATTAAAAGGTCCTGTTGAAAGCACTCACAAACCTCTGTGGAAATAGAATGGCATATGTTTTCCATGAAGTAGTTGCCAATATATGTTCATTCATTCTGGAGACAAATAAAAACTGAATCACTTGTTGCTTTTATGGTAGGTTTTTAAAATACTGAAATGGGTGGGTTAGTCATATCTGACAAAATTGCACTCCCACAAATGCACATTTCTCTACAGGAAATCTTAACTCACTGACAATTATTTCAGCTATTAATCTCAATGTAACTTCTGAAGGTGAGAGTGACAAAGGTCTGTTCTGGAATCTGTGTCTTAAATATAAAAAAAACTCCATTTCTTATTTTTAAAAACTTTTTATTGACTTGGAATGATATTGGTTAATTCCATTTCTGACCTCAGTCTATACATAAAAGTTAAAAGAAAGGTAAATTTTCCACAAGATAATTTTGTTTATGCCCTCTTAATATGGGAAAACATTAGCTATGTATGAATTAAATGGAAATGAATACACCTGAGTGCTCTCCTTCAAGATTTTTGAGAAATATAATCTTCGTTGCCATTTATTATTTCTTTGTCTTTTAAATTTATCTATATTATTAAAAGTTATTTCAGATGTACCTTTCTTTTCCCTATTGACGCCCTCCATTTTGCACCCATCACACTCCCAAGCCTTCATCATATTACTGACTATGTCCATGGGATATGCATAGTTGCCATTTCAATTTGCACTCTTGGTAACAAAGAGTTGGCCAATTATTTAAAAGTAAACTTAAAACTGGCCAATCAGATCCAGATGTTTGGAAGAGACATGAGGAAAACACCCACTTTCTGTCATAATTATGCTTGGAAATGAAGTTATTCTGGAAGTTTGACATTAAATGTTGAAAAAATAATCATTTTTTACTGTTACGTTATTATAGATGTCCCCATTTCCTTTCCCTTTCCCCACCTCCATCTAGTTCTTACCCCCCTCCCTCTGAACGTCATCCCACTGTTGTATGTATCCATGGCTGTAAATAAATATTCTTTGCTGTCCCATTTAATTCCATAGTACTTCAATTGTCTTGGGCTATATCTATATAAAAGCCTAAGCGACTTGCTGAGCAGAAGCTATGATGCTCACTGACCACCAGGGGGCAGACACTCAATGCAGGAGCTGCCCCCTGGTGGTCAGTGTGCTCCCACAGCAGGAGTGCTGCTAAGCTGAAGGGCACAAGACTGCTGGGCTCATGGCTGGTGAGTGCAACTGCAACAGAGCTAGCCAGTCCCGCCTCCACAGCAATGCTACCAGTGGCAGGCTTAGTAAGCAGGATTGAGTGGGAGTGGCACGGTGCCCAGCCCGAGCTCCGGCTCCTCCCTTGCCATGCACCAGGCCTTTAATGTATAAATAAAAAGCTATAATAGTACATATAATACAGTTATCACAGATACTGCTATGTAGCAGGTGTTAATATTGTATTATTATGAGTGTTTGTATATAAAATGCTGAGCACATATCCAATACTAAGAGACTTTGAACAATTATTATCCTAACACTGTGTAATAAGTATCCTTAAATCAGAGGAAATGTCATTCGCAGTAAAATGGAAGAAACTAATAATCTGTTACTCACATCGCAAATCTCTGGTCAATTTTAATGCCTTTAGAAGGCAGATTTTTGAAGAAATTTCACTGGTTATACAGAGCTATAAGGAAAATTACCCATAGGTTATATTATTGCCCTTCGGCCCTGTGCACTAGAACAGCATATGAGGACCAGAGTCATCCAGAACGCTAGTGAATGTGCAAGTCCCTGGGCTCTCTCATAGTACTTTGGGGTGCTTTCGAAAGTATCTGAATTTCTAACAAGTTTCCTTGTTAGCAGACCTTACTGGCCTAGCACTGCCCTGGAACCGAGGTCAGCAAACTAAGGGCAATGGGCCAAATGCATAATTTTGCCTATTTTTGTGAAATAAGTTTTAAGGGCACATAGCAACACCCATACATTTACTTACTTACTTAAATAAGTTTTAAGGGCACATAGCAACACCCATACATTTACTTACTTACACATAGCAACACCCATACATTTACTTACTTATTTACTTACACACACACACACACACACACACACACACACACACACACACACAGAACTCCCTTTGCATTACAAAAGCAGAGCTGAGTGGTTGCATCAGACATGGTAGTCTACACTTTATAGCCTACAAAGCTATAAATACTTACTCTGGCCTTTTTACAGAAAAGGTTTGCTGAACTTATTCTAAAATGCCCCTCTTTTTCCTATTACACAGTTGAGATTTTTGAAATTCAGAAAGGAAATTTATTGATACAAAGTATGAAGACATGCAGTGACACTGTTAGGGTACTTCAAAGCTCATAAAATGTCCACCATCTTCATGCATGTCTCACAGCAATGAGTTGCCGACCTTCTCACTGCCATGATATAATCGTGATAAATGTCTGATACGTTCCAGAATTAAAAGTCACAAAATTACTATCCTTTTTGTAATGAATGACATCTTAAAAACCTGCAGTTTCAGAGAAATGGTACAAATAAAATTTATACAATACAACATAAAATAGATGGAAGCATTTAAATCTATATTAATAAAATTTCTTATTTGTTAGAGAAAATACAGGTGATAAGAGAAATACTTAATTACCCCTGGTAATAGAGAATAGGGAGTAAAAGGATAAGTTAACTCACAAATTTCCCCAATGATCTTTGTACTGTTATATTTCATCTTTTGCTTTCCCTGTTTCTGCATCATTGGATAGGTTAACAAATAGATAGCAGTGCCACAGCAGCAAGAGGCTGACAGTAGCCTTACACAGAGTGGTGGCTGCAGGCCTCAGACCTTTCAAGTATGTTTTTGTTTTTACATTTAAGTAAGTTTTTGTAGATTATACAGTATAGTAGCAAATTTACCTCTCTACCATTTCTCCAGATCTTATGCCAGGCTTGGTTTGCACATTTTTATATTAACTACTGCACTCCCGAAGGCATTTGATTTGTAGATACTGGACATAGATAATATTCAAAGTAAAAAATCAGGTCATGTAAGTAGATCATGTAAGTGTTAGAGGCTATTGTGTACATTTGTTTGTATGTTTGTCTATATAAGTGAAACTAATAATTGTATAATAAGGAAATAATGGTGTCCCAGAGCAAAAGTCTCAGATTGTTATTCAAATGGGACAATTTCATTTTCTGAAAGGCAATATAGTCAACCCCATGAAAAAGTGTGAAACTAATAACACACTTACGATCTTATTATAATGGTCTCTAGAGGTTCAGTTTAATTTTACATCTTCCAGTAAATAAAATCCTTGTTTATTGGGCTATATGAATAATTTCCCAATGAATAATTACATATTGGTTTCTTCAGAATCACTTGTTTTTTAATGAGAGTCTCCTAAACTCATATCTTAACTCTTGGTAAATAGGAATAGTTCAGATTGATAGAATATTAAAGAGCTAATAAATTAACAGAAGGAAAGTTTGTTGGTTAATACCTGTTGCACAATCGTTGTCAGTTCCAAGCAGAGCTGTATGACATTATTTCTTGTGACTGAATAGTCTGTGACAGCAGCAAACGGGGACCTATAGAGGAAAAAAGGAAAACTGTGATTCCAAAAATTCTAAGAAAGGTTCCAAAATTATAATAGCCTAACGTAAGATTTTGAATAATGTGAAATAAATTTTCATAATGATAAAACTAGTTAGGACATCGTTATAAAAAAAACTGAGAGAAATGTTTTGAAGAAAATTAAAGTCAAATAATATAATATTTGTTTTCCATAAAATTTCTCACTTTTTTTAGTGGCTAATATTTAGAAATTCTTTGGTACTTCTTACAAGTTCTCTTTATTACATCTAAAACAAATCAACAAAAAAGGAGTACATTAGGCAAAGACAACATTTAATTTACTTTCAAATGAAGAAAGATTTTGAGTACAATACATCTTTGAGATATTCACAATTAAAAGTTAGCAATGATAGCTAATATTTACTAAGGACTTACTGTGTGCCAGTTACTTTTCCAAATGCCTTACATGCACTAAATTATTTTCACAACAGCTTATAAGATAGGCACTATTATTATTCCTATTGTATTTTGGGTACCTTTTGGTAGTTTGTGTTTTTCAAAGACGTGGTCTACTTCATCTAACCTGTTAACTTTTGCATGAAAAGTTACTTGTAGTATTCCTTTATTATCCTTTTAATTTTTATTGACTTCTCTATTGTGTTTCTGTTTTTAATTTCATTGATTGCTGCTCCTTTATCATTATTATTTGCTTTGGGATTATTGTGCTGTTATTTTATTACTTTAATTTTACTTTATTGTAAGAATAGTTATCAAGAGATCTCCCTCTTAACATTTTAAGTGTACAGGATAGTATTGTTAACTATGAATACACTGCTCTAGAACAGATCTCTGGAACACATTCATCTTGCTTACCTGAAACTTCATGCCAGTTAATGGACAAATATTTTTTTTTTCTATTTTCTTGAGATGGGAGCTTAGATAATTGATTTGAGATTTTTTTCTGATATAAGACTTTGATGCTATAAATTTCCCTTTCAGTATTGTTTTAGCTATGTGCCACAAAACTTATTTGTTCTAATTTCATTCTGTTTAATGTATTTCTTATTTCCCATCTTCCTCTTTTATCTATGTACTAGAGGCCTGGTACACAAAATTCGGGTTGTATGTCCCTCAGCCCTGCCTGCACCCTCTCCAATCTGGGACCCCTCGAGGGATGTCAGACATCCCTCTCACAATCCAGGACCACTGGCTCTCAACTGCTTGCCTTCCTGCCTTCCTGATTGCCCCTAACCACTTCTGCCTGCCAGCTTGATCACCCTCTAACTACTCCCCTGCTGGCCTGATTGATGCCTAAATGCTCCCCTGCCAACCTGATTGCCCCTAACTGTCCTCCCCTGCAGGCCTGGTCATCCCTAATTGCCCTCCCCTGCAGGCCTGGTCACTCTAACTGCCCTCCCCTACAGACCTAGTCCCCCCCCCAACTGCCCTCCCCTGCAGGCCTGGTCCCCCCCTCCCAACTGCTCTCCACTGCAGGCTGCAGGCCTGGGTCCCCCTCATCTGCCCTTCCCTGAATGCCTGGTCACCCCCAACTTCTCTCCTCTGCAGGCCTGGTCCCTCCCAAATGCCCTCCCCTGCTGGTCTGATCACCTTCAACTACCCTTCCTTTCAGGCCTGGTCCCTCCTAACTGCCCTCCTTTGCTGGCTATCTTGTGGAGACTTTATCAATTCAAATGAAGTTAATTATAAAAATACATGTTATAAACTGAAGAACCAAAAGATAGATATAGAGACAGTAAAGCAACAAGCAGACTGTCAAATTACAGCGGGGAGGTTAGGGAGATCTGGGGGAGATAAGAGATCAACTGAAGGACTTATATACATGCATATAAGTACAACCAATAGACACAAAACTCTGGGGAGGGAGGGCAGGTATGAGGGGAGGGCAATGGTATATGTACAAAGATAATAATTTAATAAATAATAAAATTTAGAACAGAAAAAATACATGTTATTAATCTATGATTTTAATTAAAAAATTAGCCTATTTAGTTATAAGTAAGACCAGCTTTAAATATTCTATCTTGATGGAAGTTTTCTAAACCTGAATTGTAGAGATGGTTGCATGGATATATCCAAATTTACTAAACCTCATTAAGTTGTACACGTAAAACAAAACAAGTGAATGTTATAGAATGCAAATTAGGTTCCTTTCAAGTTATTTAAAAAATGTAAAATATAAGCATTTCTAGGAAAAATCATTAATAAAAATGCTAAAGACCTTTTATTTTTGCTGCATTGAAGCATAAAAACTATCATTTTAATTAAGAATTCAAAGATGCTTCTGGCATCATTAAAAAGTTTGGATTGCTAGGTTTGAAAAATGTCAGTCTGCTAATAAAACGAAATACTTAATTCAAGAGTGATAATATGAATTACAGCATGAATTTTCCCATAAATATTTGAGACTGTCACTTGTTCTTCAAAATATACCAAAAGAAAAATCCGTTTATGACTGAATGCCTGTAGCAAACTAATTCTAAAGCATATTTTCTTCCCTTTCCTGACTACTCATATTTCAAATAGAACATGATTCTCGATCATGATTAAATGTCAAGAAAACTGGGAGGGTGGGTAATGTAAACATATGCTAAAGAAAACACTTATTTTGTAATGACTTCCTCTTAAGTTTTTATTTTAAAGATAAATCACTTAAAACCATACCAAGAACCATTCTTAGGTATGGTGATTTTGCCTATATTCATACATAAAAAAGCTGACAGACTAGGTTCAAATCTCTGTGAGTTACCAAAGATGACCATTCAATCATGACTTCATGATCAATGAAATAAATAAGTGGGCATCTAGAGAAGTACTGAGCATAATCAGCTCAAAAACCAAAACAAACAGAGGGATTTGTTCTAAATTATAAAGAAAACCCAAGGTAGAGCTCAGACTATTTACAAAAAGGACACAGTGACTTTAAAGTCAAGGAAATAAAATTCCAGGAAAGAAAGTTTTTTGATGCCAGATAGTTTTTAAAATCCTTGGCTTATCAATAAATGGTTGTTATGGATAATAGGAAGCAAACGTCTTTCTAGTGCAAAGCTTTATGGTCCTACAAGAAATTATTTTTTGTATGCTTTAAAACAAAAGCATTGTATTTATGAAAAGGTTATTAATGTTAAGAAATCCTAAACAAACTACAAGCTAATAAGGAAAAATAAAATGTTGAATTTAAAAGAATATCTTTTCCTCTCTCCCCCTTCAAGTGACATAAAATAAAAATTGCAATTAAATCCAATCATTTTGCTGGGCATGCAAGATCTCTCCAAAATGTAACAAAAATTTAATGCCAAAAATTTATTGTTTTAAAAAATTAAGCCACTTTTACAACAAAATAACCATATTTAAACTGGTAGAATTATATCATATCAAAGGAATAAACTAAGGATAAAGACCCAATGCTTAGCAATATTTGATTGCAGTGGCCATTTTAAACTCTCCAAAGTAAAGCAAATCTATACTGACAAATAAAATTGTCCTTAGGGTATAAGACTCTACATTCTAGAATTCTAGATATGGAGGTTTTAAGGCCTAATGTTCTAAAATTTGACGTTCTAAGCCTTTTAGAGTATAAACCCCTTGGCTGACTCTAGAGCATAAGGCTTCAAGAGTTTATCCTTTCAAGTTGTAAAATTCTAATGATGGTCAACTAGAGTTTCTAAGGCTTTACGATCCTTGAAGCTCTTGTTATGAGATTCTGGATCCTAAAGATCTAAGATTCTAGATTCCGCAATTCAAAAAATGGATTTTTGGATTCTTACAGATGGAGGTTCTAAAATCTAATGTTCTCAGATGTGATGTTCTAAGATTTAGTCTAAGAACCTAGATTCTCTGTGTCTAAGACTCAAGAACATACGTTTCAAGGTCCTAGATTATTAAAATCTAAGATTCTAAAAAAAGAACTTTTGATCAACATTATTTCTATGGAACTTTTATAATTAATTATGTAAGTTCTAAGTTATTCAAAAGCAAACAAAAACAAAACAAGCCAAGACATATTCTTAACCTTATATAAAGAAAGCATAAATATAGATTAGCTCTGTTCTAGAACTTAAAATGAAGCAAACAAAATATTAACTAAATTTATTTAGAGAAGAGTTAGGGACTTAAATCATGATTCTATAAGTCACTAATAAGTTTTGTTAGTGTTTATCCTTTGAGATTACATAAATGGAAATAAATTTCGTGTGGCTTTTGTGAACAAGGCCCATGAGTTATGGAATATTAGAGTTTAGAAGAGACCTTCAAATTCTAAGGGTCTTATATCCTTATTCTAAAAAGAAAATAAAAACAGGGGTTAAGTTTTAGGTTACCCAAGGCTTGAGGCAGAGCTGAATCTCAACTCTTTATCAGTCACCTGTTCTTTAAACTACTGCAGGATGTATTTCAACAGGGGTTCACAATAATGGTCTTGGAGAACACTGCTCTTTTGGCTTTTTTAACACTGGTTAGTGTGCTTTGTTTCCTTTGTAATTTTCAGAGCACGATGACACAAGAGGGCCTGTGGAGTGTTGTCTTGCTTGTTTGCTACCTAAAAATATTTTTTTTCTTTGAAAGGAATAAAAATATAACTTAAATACAAACACTAACAATAGCTAACAAAAGTCTGGGCTACGTGTCAGGAAAACAAACAGCCTAAATAGACATTTCACCTGGCACAGTTGAATATACAATCCTATTACATTTAAATTGATTTGGGGACCTTCTGAAATGTATACTGGCCAAGGAGCAGTGAAGGTATTCATACAATCCATGGCAAGAGTAGAAAACAAAGTCAAGCTTCGAAAACAGAAATAGCACTCATCATATGTCTTCTCTTTTCTATCACCGCTAAAATACTAGGAATCTATGCAAAGGGGATGTTAATATGATACTAAACTATTCTGAATAACAAAGAATTTCACAGAAACATTTCTTCAAAGAGGAGTTATCACTTACCTTTAACTCATAACCAATTCATGCATTCTACTTTTCATGAGTTCTAAGTAAAAACACCAAACTGGTGCTGGTAAAGTCACATATATCCTGATTCCCTAGTCTACAACACATTTTCAATCCTTAACCTACTTAATCTCACAGCAGCATTTGACTCTATTGACCACTTCCTTTTGCTCCTACATCTCTTTACTCCTACCTTAAATATTCTCCCTTGCACAGAAAAGGTAATTATGTCCGATGATGAACATTTTAATGAACCTTAATGTGGTAATCATCTGCAATACAAATGTGTATCAAATCATCACACTGTACACCTTAAACTTGCACAATTTCATGTTAATTTTTTCTAAATGAAGTTTAAAAAATAAAGCAACATCAAAATCTCAATAGAAAGAAAACAAACTCTTTACTGCCTTTGCTTCTATGAAACCACTCTCAACTAATTCTCTCCTTCCTCTTCAGTTATGTCTTATTATATTTTTCCATAGCTAAACTCCTAATCAATCTTCGGTTGTTGTGGTCCATAGAGCTCATTCCTCATCCAGGTTCTCTTCAGGCACTCAAATGTATTTCTTTAGTACCAATTATAGGTTAGAAACTCTTCTAGATAATTAAGATATCACTGAATAAAAAAGCTGAAAATCCCTGCTGTCTTCAAGCACACTAGTCATATAAAGACTAGTCAGACAAAATATTAATACTACATGAAAAAAGGAGATGTATGTACTACTATTCATAATACTTGAAACAATAAAATAAAAAATACAACATGAGTAAATTAAGTAGTGTGCTAGGGTTTATTTGTTATGGAAAATAAATAGAACAGAGAATTCTATAATTCTCCTTATACCACCATATTAATATATCTATGACTTTGATGATCCCCAAATTTCTATCAACCATATATCTTTTATGAACAGCAATACTCTAAAGACCTTATCACTTGAATATTCTCCAGACACATGTTGAGTGTCAGGCATTATAAATTGTGATGACAATTTATAATGCCTGACACTCAACATGTGTCTTTCACCATAAGCTGTTCCTACTCTTTTGATAACGGCACTACCATCTGTTGGTTCAGCCAAGTCAGATACTCTTAATTTAATATATCTCCTTTTCCTTGGTTTCTAGATCTTACTTGTCACCAAGTCTTATTTATCTGCATAAATATCTCCAACATTCTTCCATCCTCACTGTTCTTTCTCTAATTAATTAAAAGTATCAATAAAGAGCAGTGGAGAGGATTGATTCTGTAGTCAGATACCTGAACTGAATCCTGGCTCCAATGCTTAATCGTCATTTGGTTTTGAACTTAACCTCTGTAAGTGCTAGTTTTCCTATCTTTAAAATAAAGACAACCATCCTATTGTTACTGTATTAAATGAGTGTGGCTGGAGGTATTAATATCAGAACCACTGACAGTAGCAGCAGCATGATTAGTTTTTAAAATAGCTTCTTAATTGGTTTCACTTCTTCTAGCCTTAATCTTCTCTAATCTTTCTCATCACTATAGCCCAAGTAGTCTGCAAAATTTACAAATCAGAACACAACAATGACCCTAAATAGGCCCTCACTGCCTGCAGCATTAAGTGCAAATGCCTTAGCATGGCAAATAATTTCTTTCTTTTCCTCCCCTTCTCATCTTTCCTTTTAAAAACTTAAACTGTTAAAAACATCATCATTATAGGCAAGTTGGCCTGGAAGTAAAATTTTCTGTGAAAGATCTTCAAAATATAAACTTCAGTTTTCTTTTTTCAATTTATAAAAAAGTCTCAGTAGAAATTTTGAAGTTATCACAAGGTTGCCCTCCTCCTGGACCCCAAGTATGTATTTCATTTTTACGGTCAAAATGTTAAATTATATTTGATTACATTGATCACCATGATATAACACAAATTGAGCCTCTTGAAAAATTTTGCAGCAATGGAAGCCAAATAGATGATTTTAAGTAATTTCCTTCAGGGTTCTGTCACATTTCCTCTTCCTATGAAACAAACATAAGACACCACTAACTTCATAGATTGCTTACATATATTTTTCTATGTGTGTGCCTCTACCTGTCCAATTATTTCACAAGAAAACATGAAATAATATCATATTCAAACTGGTGTTCAAATAAAATAACTTCTGAAACATTTGGAAGATTTTTACCTGTCCAGCCAGGCAAGCAGACTCTTGGCTGCTCCGATCAGATCCACAACTGAAGTCAGAAAGTCATTTGGCAATTTTCGGCTGGTTCTCCCATCATAATGGCCACTCCTTCTCCTCCCTGTTATAAAATTCTGTAGATTTTTGGCAGATGCATTCAACTTGTGAGAAAGGGTTTTTAGATTTTCTGTTTCCAAGCCATAATTCTGAATTATAAAAGAAAAAGAACAAGTATGCTTAAAGTCAATATTTTATTCATTCATTAAAATCTTTACTGAGCACTTTACTACATACAAGCCATGGAACAGTCTTAAAAGTAACAAATGAGCCTGGGTGTTATTGCTCAATGATTGAGCATTGACCTATGAACCAAGAGGTCCCTGGTTCGATTCCTTGTCAGGGAACATGCCCAGGTTGCGTGTTGTGGGGTTGATCCCCAGTAGGGGGCATGCTGATCAATGATTCTTTCTCATCATTGATGTTTCTATCTCTCCTCTCTCTGAAATCAATAAAACAATTTTTTAAGTTACAAATGGGTAAGCTAAGATTCCTGGTATAGTGGATCCCGTCAAGTGAGGATTTGGGGAAATATCAGATAAATTACAATAAAATGTGTACTAGTAAAGTACTAATATGAACATGAATAGATGAGGACATTATATCTTGGAAATATACCACCCAAGACAGAAAACGACTATAAGGATCCATAAGTGTTTTTGTAAACCCAAACATAAGTTCATTTGCTTGTGAAATTCATTATTGTCAACAATTATTTTTGAGTATCTATTCTAACAGCATGTTCATATTGTGATTGTAGGTGCTAGGAAAATTCGGCCCTCAAAAATGAGCAAAGTAAGCACAACCCAACAATAAAAAGAAGTAAGAAATAGATCACAGAATATTTTTTTCTGTGTCCTCTCTATAATATTTCAAATAAGAAGTTTCTTTTATAATATGGTATCAGGAAAAACTCTCCTTCCTCAGGGGTACCAATGCGCTTTATCCTTTTTATAATACAAATTATTAAATTAAACTTATATTTACTTTTATCATGGTTACATTAGCTCACAATCAAATGTGAAACACATCCAAGGCAATCATGGTGGCTTTTTGGTAAGTGTATTTGTTTTCTTTTCTTTGGTCTCACTTTTCAATTTCTAGTAATGTTTATTATTTTACCCTAAATATTTTACCTACAAATTAATGCAGAAAGTGATTACAAGAAATAATGCAAACAAGCGTTTCTACCATATTCATTAGGAAAATATTATAGGATCTCCTCAAATGAAATTCAGGGGAAGGTTTTAGTTAAAATTAAATTTTAAAGCAGCTAATTGTGAGTTATAAAACATCTCTAATAAAGGCTAGCTAAATCGATCAAAAGGTGATGATGATGATTGAACTACTCAGCAAAACAAACATTACTGTCCCATGTATAATCAAAAGTATTATCACTTTATGGAAATTATAAAATCCAAAGATTTCTTTGTTTGCTTAAAGAGCTCAGAGCTTAGAGTAGACCGAGTTCAGAATGGGACAAGTCATTAGGATGCCTGGTGACAACAAATGATACAAAATGGAAGATAAAAATACTAAGGGAGTAAAAAAGGAAAGCAAATGGTACATGAGTTTAGCTATATTATTAAGTCAACAACCACTAGAAGTACCTATTATTATTAAGTTAACTACTGGAAGTACCTATTTTATTTGAAATTTAGGTTTATTTTTTCCGTAGTAATTTAAGAAAAGCAAATTTAGAGGAGATAAAAGGAGGGACTGGAGATGGTTTGGATACATAAACATTAAATACTCCATTATGTTAAGTATGTTAACACTAAAGATTTAATAGTGACAAAAGTCTTATTGTTTTTTGCTGAGAATTTACATTTTTTTTTAAAAAAGAACGTCTTTTTGGAGCCAAGGATTTTTTTAAAAAAATTATAGAACATTAAATTTTCACTGCTTAATTTAAATAGTGATATTTTCTCTCTCAAGTTAAAAGATTTGGTTTGCACAAATAAAATAACATTCTATTCAAATTCTATTGCACCTGAGCATGGATTATTTGTGAAAACTTTGAAAGATTTACGGTAATGCAGATTGTCATTATATTAAGAAGGAAATCTTTGCATAAGTTTATAAAAAGTACTCTCTAATGACTAGATAGAACAATTTGAAGTTATATTAACTAAATGTAAATATTTCTAAAGTCCTTAAAACATTTTCAGATGTTTTCCTGTGTTAAAGCATTTTCCCTGAAATATAACAATGTTTGCATTTTTGCATACTAATGATTTCAATGAGAAACTTATTTATAAGCAAATTATAACATTTTCTTACAGAAGCTCAAATTATAATAGTTCATTAGAGAGAAATTGATTAGATTCTAATCAATCAACCTGGTAATGGTTTAACTCTATAGCCATTAGCTTCCATAAAAATTAATTTAAATTATATCTATCTATATAGGCATCTAAATAATAAAAATCTGAAGGCAAAGCAAAAGTACTTTGAAAACTTCTACATTTAAGACAGTATTAGTTTTATTTTTAATACAATTCAAGAATTAGAGTATAGAGAAGTTCTTTGGACAAAACTTGAAAAGATATACTGAGAAGGCCTCCAAACTTGGCAACCTACTGAAAAAAATAACCTACATGGAGAAAAGGTGAAAAATGAGGAGGAAAGAAGAATGTAGAGGTAAGAGATAAAAGATCAGTAAAAAACTGAGAGGATACTTATTACTGATCCTAGTTAACAAATATAACTAGTTAAACTAATAATTCAAAAGCATTTTTTTCAATTTTAGAAGAGTTATAACAATAGGTTAGAATCTTATTGTGGTACTATATTAAGAAAAGGATGGATTAACTGGCCGTTCAATTTAATTTTTGTCGGCACAATTCTCAATTCTAAGTAGCTCAAAATCAATTACTGTCAACACAAATATCTTCCTGCTGTTTATTTCATGAAAGGGGATAGTGTGTTGTTACTCTCTAAGTTACCAGTAAATTACACTCCTTTTCCTGTCATGTAAACAAGCATCAGATAAATAAAGAAATTCTTTGCTTTTGGCCACAGGTATGTACTACCTCAACCTTATAAAAATACAAGTTTATTCATTACAGACTGGCTTTTCACTGGATATGCATGGAAAAACTAGGCATTACTATTGGTATAGAAAAGACTACATAAAAAAGTTTGAATATAAAATGTATTCAGCTATTTTATTTTCCTATGTTACCTATTTGTTCATATTCTTGGCCAATAAGATGTCTGCCAGAAATCTTTTGTGACTCTGGACTGATTCAACATAGCCTGTCTAGTCTTAAGGAACTAGTGTTAATAAGTTCAAATGCTCTTTTCTTTCAATTATATGCATGCAAAACCACAGGGAAGAAAGGAACAATGGAACACACTTAACATTTTAGTGGCAAAGTCTCACTAAACACACAACTAAAAATATTCAATACTGGCACCACATATTTTACAATGTCAATGCTATTTTATTCAGAGCTCCTCATTTGAATGTAGCATGTGACAGGTGTTTCGGTTTCATAATACTTTGCTTTAAAAATGAGTGAGTCCTAAATAGATTGCTTTAATGAAGTTTTTTAGAAATTATTTTGAGATGAATGAACCAAGCAATTATGTTGCAAAGAAACAAATCCTAGCAATTGCAGACATCAAAAATTTCCTGCAAAATGCTAACCTATTATATGAAAAGCATACAAAGAATGAAATGCAAACTATTTTTATCCTGTCATAAATGATTTACTATACTTCCAAATAAAAGGTGTATTGTCAGAATATAAATTAAGGGCTATGGATTAAACTATATATAGTTTACTTATGCTTTACTATTATGCATATTAAATAAAAGCATAACAGCTTGAAAGAGTTCATACACCTCCAAATCATGAATAGCTTAATTCTTTCTACAATAAGATGGTACAAACAACATAGTTGGTGCTTAATAAATACACCAAGTGACCAGATTATTATGATCTATGAACACATAATAATCTGGCCACTCAGTGTATATCCTATAGAATAAAAGGCTAATATGCAAATTGTCCCCTCCATCAGGAGTTCGACCAGCAGGCAGGCCAGCCAACAATCCATGTCCCCTCTCTCTGGCCAGGCTGACTGGACCCCACACATGCATGAATTCATGCACCGGGCCTCTAATACATATATACACACACTGAGTGGCCAGGTTATTATGCGTTCAGAGGTCATAATAATCTGTCCACTCAGTGTATATACTGCATGGATTCATAAAAATTAGCTTTCAAACATTTATTCCCATCAGGAATAACTTTAAGACAAGGCAGATGAAAATATTCCAAAGCTTAAAAGAAGCAAAGAAATTTGTTAATTACTCAGACTTCTTATACGAGAACAGATACTTTAGTCAGAGGTTATATAAGCAAGAAAAAAAAAGATAGTTCTCTGGAGAAAGGCAGAGAATCTTATCCAGTAAGATAACATTAATTTAATATCCTCTATGTGCGAAGCACTGGGCAGAAAGCATATTGGAGGAACAAAAATTTAAGCAAAGAATTATCATGTGGTACAAAGTATAAGTTGCCTTTTTTTCCATCCACCGTGCACCAGCCAAATAAAAATTCTCAGTCTTTGACAAAAAAGCAATATCTGTCATTTGTAAAGTTTCTTTTTTTTAAAGAAAGCAATTATGTTCTGCAGATATAAATTATGTACATAAAAGTTATTTTATATTAAAAAATTCTCATTTCTCTATGAACACTCCATAGTCTTTCACAATTGTTTTTACATCTATTTCTGCCTAGGTAAATTTCCCCAACTTTTTTGTCTGGTGAACATCTTCTCATCCTGAAAGTCTCAATGCAAAGCCCACCTATACTTCCTGGATCCCCTAGTAGTGTTCATCATTTCCTTCTGCTCTCCCCTGGGATTGTCTTTAAATCTATATTATTTTTCAATGACTATCGTCTTCTTTACTAGATGGCATACATCTTAAGAGCACAGATTATGCCTTCTTTATCACTGTATTCCCCACTGTAGCACTGTTTGAACATGAATATATAGATTTTGAAAGAAGAAATAAGTACAGTTGATGTAAGAAAAAAGTACAAAAGCCAGCAGATTCATTAGTTTCAAAGAAACAAGACAGTTCCTCATTCACAATAGCAGAATTTCTGGTCTAGTCACCTCAGCTTTTTGATGTGGGATCTTACCTCCTGATTTTATAATGGCATGAGAAGTAAATTAGATTTCATTGCTCAGTAATTTGCTTTATATTCACTGGAAAGCATCTGTTGCGTAAACTGGAAGGTATCTGCACTTCTAACTTGCTGATATATAACCATTAAGCAGTGAAAAGGAAGTTTAATATTTGACTTCTCTGGGGAATGTGAGCAATTTATTGCTGGATAAACACAAGGAATGAGTTTACTCTTTTGTGTGTGTGTATGTTTTATTTTTTTATTTTTCTGTGTTAACTTCCAGAACAGGTCAACCACATAATGAAGTTTGCCCAAGAAAATGATGTAATATTATGGTGCTTAAATCCACAACTGTAGAGGGATTAGAACTTAGAATTTGAAGGGATTTACCACAGCTCCAGAGCTCAAACATCAAAATGGTCTGGACATCTGTCTCTGATGTCATTCTTTTCAGTAAGTTAAGGTCAGCAGAACTTGTTCGGGAGCCAAACTCCAAAGCCCACAGGTCTAGACTCTGTAACACTGCAATCATCAATCTTCCTTCTTTAAACTGGCAGTGTACGAGTCTAGCACTCGAGTAGCTCATCTATATGAAGCTCTACTTATAAGACATACATACATACACTCTGGACTTCAAGCTCTGACACATCCAACTGCTGCTGTTATAGAAGATGTGGCAAATAGGGGACTGCTGGATTAGCTGCTCATTTCCAAAGCCCCCTATTGCACCTTCATGGCCACTCTGACTCAGATTTGGAGACCAGCATGCAAAAGCACTGTGGACCCTTACCTTACCCCAAGGGCTCATTTATTTCAGACATAATTTTTGTTATCTGATTCATACAAGGGATAGAGTGTACATGTGTGTTCTGGTCTGAATTTATTTATCTTATCTCAGGAATAGGGAAATAAGAAGATTGCCAAATATTATGTAAAAACTGTGTCAAGACTCTTTCATTGATACTTACAAAAAATATTTATTCAGCACCCACTCTTGCCTGGCATTTGTGCTACATGCTAGCTGTTCAATAAATAGTCACTTTCCCCACATAGCTTACAGTCTAATGAAGAAACAGATATTAAAATGATAACCACATATATACATTTATAATTAACAGATGTCATGATGGTTAAGAAAGAATAACATTGGAAGGTTAATTTTAGTCCAGGCATGGGTGGAGGAATGATCAGGAAATATCTCTTTCAGGAGATGACAATTAAGCTAAGACTGAAATATATAAGTGGGAGTTGCTATTCAGTGAATATGGTTTCAGGCTCTACTCTTATTTAGAAACTGCTTTCAGTCTGCTCTTTCCCCCCTTGCTTATCCTATTCTCTTTTTTGTGTGAAATTTGATGACATTATTGATATTCTTTAATGAAAATAGGATTCCCTATTGCTTTTGTGACAACTCTTTTGTGGCTGTTTTCATGCTTCTCTGAGCACTCCATAAGCCTCCTCTGCAACTTCTTCCTACTCAGCCAGAGTGCTGAGTGTGGAGATATATCCTTTGTTTTATATATTCTAGAGGCCCTCCCCTCTATGGATTCTATCCCTATGTTTTTGAGACTCCAAAATTTGTATATTCAGCCACTTTTCAACTTCAAACCCATACACTCATTTCTGATGAGTATCTCTTTCTCGATAACCCAGAGATGCCTCAAATTCAACAAATTCAAAAGTTGACTTATATTCTCACCTAAAACTATTCTTGCTGCCATTGCTTATGCCCATTACTACAAAATCGACTCTATCTCTGCAGCTAGAAAAGATGGAATCCTTCTCAATTCTTCCTTAATCTTACCCCTCATATTCACCAGCTCTTCTCTATTCCTGTTGCATATACATCCTTGGTTCAAGCCCTATTTATAGCCTGAGTAGATTATTTTAAACATTACCTAATTATTCTCCTCATCTTTAATTTATTCCCACTCTATTCCATCATTTTCATTACTATCAGTTACCTTTTAAATACAACTCTTTGACTATTCTTGCATGGTTCTCTAATGCGCACATTAAGGAGTACAAATCTCTTACCATGATGTTATGGTTTACTGTCTGGCCCTATTCCCCCCTCCCCTCACTTAATCTTTTAATAAAATATTTATTGTTAAAAGTATTACATATGCCCCCCCCCACTGACTCATTTTAGCTAGCCTCCACCTCTCCCAGGTCTTCAACACCCTATTGTCTGTGTTAAGCATATATGCATACAAGTTCTTTGGTTGATCTCTTCCCACCCACCCACCCTCCTCCACCTTCCCTCTGAGATTCTGCAATCTGTTTTATGGTTCTATGTCTCTGGATCTATTTTGTTTATCGGTTTATTTTGTTCATTATGGCCCTATCTTTTCATGCCTATTTCCTCTACTGTTTTCCCACCTATTTTTTTGTCATTCCAAATAGCTTACCATTTTTCAAATACACCAGGCAAGCTCTTTATTCTGTGTGCATGTGTACATGTTGTCTACCTGAAATACCATTCTGTTTCTCCATCTACCAAACACATGCTCATTCAAACTCTATGAGGTTTCTTAAATATTATCTCTCTTACAATATAAACCCATTTATTTTAGGCAAGCTAGTTATTTTCACTTCTGTGCTCCCATAATATTTAGCACTTACTTCATTTTAGTAATTATACTATAGTAATGTGATTATTTGTATGTCACCCCCTAGGATTTTCAGGAAAGCAGAAACTAGATCTTACATCTGACACACATACTGCTGAGTATATTAACTCATTTTTAAATTATGTTTATTATCCACTCACTCCTTATTAAACATCATCTTAATAACATTTATTATTTACTGAATGCCTACTGTGTGTCAGATGCTGAATTGGGCACTATACAAACACTATCTCATTTGCTTTTTACAACAGCATCAAAAGGTAGTTGTTATTATCTCTGTTTTAAATAAAATAACTAAGGCTATGGTGAAATTATTTCCTCATAAATATTGTCAATAATATATGTAGCCAATTTCAATCCCAGAATATTATGACATGCTCCTTTTCATTGTAGTTCTACCCCCCTCACAAATATGTGGAAAATGTAAAACCAATCAGGTTATTCTAATCTTACCTAACATGGAAAAAAATCTATGGTCCTCTCAGAATATCTAATGTACTAACAGAATCTTGCAGGATTATTTTGACATTGCTTTATCTTCTTTAATTAGGTATTGCTCTTTTAACATACAAAAAGTAACCATACAAAGTACAATATTCCATTTTCAGGGATGCATATATCAAGAACATCTAAATAAGTCAGCTGAAGAATAATTTTTCTAAAATAAGATTAATATTTGTGATCCTAAATCAAAACTTTAAGAAGTGAATGGATTTTATAACTGATTATATACAACTGAATACCCTAAATGCTATGAAAACTCCTTTGGTGAGCTTTAATTATTTTCAAGTAGAAAACCATAATGTCACTAGCTGAGTTGTAACTCTCCTTTTTGTTAATTGTGGAATTTTAAAAATCTTAGTTACTGATTTTAAAGAGAAAGCATGCAAGGAGAGAGATGGAGGGAGGGAAGGGAAAGAGAGATTCATTTATTGTTTCACTTATTTATGCATTCATTGGTAGATTCTTGTATGTGTCCTGACTAGAGATCGAACCTGCAATCTTTGCATATTGGGACAATGCTCTAACCAACTGAGCTACTGGACCAAGGCTAAATCTCTTTAATTTGTAATTTGGCACTGTATACTATACCAAATTTAAGGAAGGAGGAAAATACTACATCCAGTTGTTTGAACCTTAGGGGACTTTTTCTACTAGAATTTACATTAGTTTTAAAAACAGAAGGAAAGAAGGAAGGAAACAAAAAAAGAAAAAATAAGTTTAAAAGGAAAGAAAACAACAGAAAGTAAAGTTTCCCTTCCCATCAGTTTATGTTCTTACCAGTGCACACAGAAGGTCAACTGCTTCCAGGATCAGCTCCTGGTGGCCAATGCGGCTGACTCCCAGGTCTTCTAGCTCCTGATGTGTAATGCGCAGCAGCTGGTCCCCACTGATCTTCTCCCTCTCAAAGTTCTTAATATACTGTTGCAGACAGTCATCAAGACCTGCAAAAAAAAAAGATGGTAGACCAGAATTAAAAAAATCAGTTGAACCAAAAAAAAAAAAAAAAAAGGAAAATAAAACAAGCATTAAGCCCTCCCAAGCCACAAGTCCAGTCTATTTGAACTCTGAACTAGTTCAGTAATCTATCTTTTCTCAATCTGTATATGTGCCTAGTGGGAAGAAACCATTTCATCATATTCCTAATGGTTAAATTCTTATTTGGATCTATTTGGATTTTAAAATCAGCAATTATGGAATTCTTCACCTCTCTTCTCAGCAGTTCTCTTTGTTGACTACTTAATAAAGTGTGCTAACAGGCAGGCTCCCCTATTTCCAAAGATATCTGCACCCCATTCCTACTTCCTTCTTTAATCCCAATGCAGAGGAGAGATATCTTTCTTCCTATACAAGGCTAATTGATCTCCCTGTGCTCTGGAATCCCATCTACTGCCACCTTAACACTACTTCAACAATTAAAGAGCTGAAATCCACAGTGGATACATTTTTCAAGATTATTTAGGGCACTTCTTAAGTGTTTGGCTAGGCTATAGAATGGGTTAGCTTCAATAACTTATAAAATGTCTTCATATAAATGATGAACTAGCCTAAGCATATTACTTCTCTCCAGATTTTAAAATAAGAAACACCAATAAAATTAGGCAATTCACAAAAACGAAAAGGTCTTGATTCTATCAAGTAGAGAGATGAGAGGCCACAATGGGCCACAATCCAGCTGGAATTACTACAGAGCAGAAATTATAACCAAGTAGAGAAAGCAGAGATGAAGTTAGAACAAATGTGCAAAGGGAAGTCAAGTACCATAACATTAAGTAGCCGCTGAGACAGGAAAAACTTAGTCCTGAAAGCTATGGGGTTCTGATAGGGTCTAGTACCAAGGCAACACATGTAGTTACTATATTATCAAGCTTTCCCAATGTAACCTGAGTTACCCCTGCAGTCTGACTATACTATCTTCTCTTTCTTTCATTTCCCAATAGTATGTGTACATCACTCTCTCCAAGTTCTCTTGCCTCTTTGTCCATTCCTTCTCAGTCCTCTTTTAGGATAGTTTCTCCAACTGTCCTAACATACTGTTCTCCTTTCCAGGGACCCCATTCTGGTCTCCTTACTTCTCACTCTTTACATTCTAACTGAACAATCTCATCCCTGCCTGTCTTCAACTACCAGCTAAGAGCCTGTGCTTCCATTTCAGACCTTGCTGCATTCATTGTCTCAATGAATGGCAACACTATCTATCCCAGTATAAAACCCAAATATATGGGAGCCACCTTACATTTATCTACCTTCCTTACATCCCTGCATCCAACCAATCTCCATGTCCTAAATTGTTCTTCTGAAATATATTTTACATATGTACTTTCCTCTAATTCTCTGGTGCCTAAATCAAGCCATGAATTTTTCTCATCTGTATTAAAGCAGCTTTATGGTTTTACTGGCTGCTAGTTATAATATCCTCCAATTCATCTTTCCTAATATAAAAATTCTGATGTTATTCACTATTTCAAAAATTTTCAATGTTTCTTTGAATTTATGGCAAAATAAAATCTCAGTTCCTTTATATACTGATCATAGCTCTTCCTGATCTAGACCTTACCTTCCTGTACAGACTCATTCCAGAACCCTCCTCACTTCTGAATCTCCAACTTCACAGACCTCCATTACAACAATGCCCATATAATATTATAATTCCTTCTTCCCATGTCTGTGTGTCCAATAAATAGCCTGGAAATTGCTTGAAGCTGGACACTGTGTCTTCTATCTAAATTTCGAGAATCTGGGACTTAGCACAGTGGCTAACAAAAACTTGTGCTTAATAAGTGTAAACTGAAAACATTAAACATTTATTTTTATGCTATCTAACCTGGTCAGAGCCATAAAAGGAACATTTTACATAGAAGCTAAATCTAAATGTAGAGTGGGCAAAATATTTGGTATATGGCATTTTGAGGCAGTAATGTCTTGATAACACTGCAGAATAATATGATTGAATGTTACTATTTTGAGTTGATTTTTCTAATGATTCCTTTATGGAAAGCAATGATAAAGGATGGCCTACAGTTCATCCCTTCTACAAGATAAGGTTAGAAAATTAAAACAAACATGCATCAATCCAATATCCTGAGAATTTCAAGGCAAAAGATCTTACTTTTAAGTTACTTTTCAGTCCCCTCTTTTTGTGGACATTTTTTTTTGTCCAGATCATCAATGACCAATAACAACATATTCAACTGCCTCATTTCCAATTTCATTCTCCTTAAGAAACTTATTTCTCTATTTCCACCACTATTTTTCCATTCTCAGAACCATGTTGGAGTACAGTTTAATATCTTATCTTGTCAGTTAGTGAGAAACATAATTTCTTCATTCAAAATAGCTCTTGATTTGTCCTTTCATTTTGGATCTCACTGTCATCACCTTATTCAGGCTGTAGAGTCTGCCCTGGTGCCTAGTTGCTCCCCCTGGCATTAGTCTGCCATCTATCACTGTCACATCTCTAAAAACACTCTTTGATCAAGCCACCCCTCAATTCAAAAGCTTCATTAACTCCTCCTACCACAGGTTAAATTTCAAAGATCTTAAGTTTTTTAATTTATAAGGCTTTTTTGAGGGGAGAGGGGTTCTGGATGTCTGTGTCAGCTAACGTTTAGGTATTAACTGTGACATCTACTATAGATAATAAAAGTATTTTCTATAATATAAATAGCCAGAAACTCATACATATAACCATGCTTTTCTCCTATATATAGGATAGTATATAATCATAAGTAATCTAGCAAAAGACAATTCATATTTAAGATCTGTGGTAGTTTCTAAAGCATCTGAAAATGATAAAATTATAGTATATTGCATTTCAACAAGTGAATTTTACTGAATTCTAATTATCAGGAAACTGGTCAACCTATGTAAATGCACAGGCTATTTAACAAATACCAAGAATACTTAATAAATCTAATTCCTGAAGTATTCTAGAAAAATGAGACTATGTAGTTTAAATTTTCTTTAACAACTGTCTTATAATATAGCCATACAAATTCTTGACTTCATTCAGAGAAGAGCTAGCCACCACTCTTACTTAGTAAAAGTGAATTGACTCTTAGTTCTGCTTTTTACTATACTTAGTTTTACATTTTGTTCAACCAAAGAAATAAGTAAATGTTTTATTTAAAACCATCTATATCACAATTCAAAATTCCAATAAAAGTAAGCAATATCTGTTTTAACAAGTAAGAAATAATGTGAAAAATAACAAACTTTGGGGCATCCATACCATAGAATATTATTCAGCAATAAAAAAGGAACTATTGATACAACAACTTGGATAGATCTCAAGGGTATTATGTAAGAGAAAATGGCCAATGTGGAAGAGGTTATACGGAATGATTCCATTTATATTACATTCTGAAAAAGGCAAAATGATCGCAGCGGAAAACAGATCAGTAGTTGCCAGGGATTGGGAATATGAAGAAGCAGTGACTATAAAGCAGCAGGAAAGAGATTTTCTTTTCTTGGGGGTTGATGAAATTATTTTGAATCCTGATTGTGGTTTTAGTTACATAAATCTATACATGTGTTGAAACTCCTACAACTGATAACACTCGAAAAGTTTATTTTATTGTTAATTTAAAAACAAAATTGAAAAAATTACAAGTGAATTATGAGTTATATAACATTTTGAAAATACTATTAAACTGAAAATTTAGTGAAAAAATTTCCTTATGACATCATCATTTTATCATAATGTTTGTCATAAAAGACCCAGGCCAGGGAAGAATGTTTCCAGTATTCCATTCAGCAACTATTTATTAAGCACCTACTAAGTTTGAGACTATGAATTTAACTACCTTTGAAAAGACTCCTTCACCCTGCTGACTGACAAAGCCCAGAGGCTATAAACAGAATTTCTGTCTGAGAAAGTGTATATGACACAGAGTGTGCAGACTGGTGCACGCAGCAGGAAACCAATCACTGTGCCCTGTGGTCTCCAAAACACATTCTGGAAGGCCAAGGCTTACTATACTTATCATCACCATTTCTACTCTTCTCCTGGGATCTTTTTTTTTCCCTCTAACAACTTAACCTTGTCTTTAAGACAGAGACTACAAAAACAGAAAACACAATAACCTTGATTAGTGGTGATAATGTCAATTGTTCCAGTTTGCAAAACAATTCAGCCTTCCTACAGTCTGTTTCTGGTTTTTCATTTTAAACCAGAGTAAATTTTATCTGCATAAAAACTCCCCTTTCCTATTAAATCACCAAAGAAAACAAAACTAAGGACGTAAACTATATCAGCACTGAAATTAGGAGACTGCTACATAGCAGATGAGATTCAATGTTAAAAACTAAAAACGGTACTAAAGAAAACTGAGTTCTGTATATAAAAAAAAAAAGATAGATAGGTCTGACTAGATAAAAATTAAAATTTTAGTATGACATTAGCATCAGAATATTCACAAAAAGTACTTACAATATATTGTATCAAGGCTGACTAAGGGCAAAGTAACCCATAGGCACACTATCAAATTGCTTAAAACTACTCAATTTTAAAGTACTGATATATGGTAATATGAGATAATAACCTTTCAAGTGCAGTGGCACATTACACAAAACAACGTTTTAATGGTTTCATAATTTTGTAATTTTTAAAGGTATGTAAAACATGGTAAAACAGCTGGACAACAAGTGATTCAGGACAGCTGACAAGCAAATTTTTAAATATTCTTTTAGTAAAGATAAAATAACCTCTAAATATTATATGTAATTATTCTGTACATCCATATTTTAATTTTTAAAACAAAGTCTAAAATTATTTTAATAACATGTTTAATAAACAAAGACTGCCTCCTATTATAAGGGAGCTTGATGGTATTATATACTTAAGAATTCATATACAACATTTTTCAAATCCCATACTTTCTTACAAAAATTAATGTTCAGTTGCAGAGTTTTCAATAACTAAAACTGAAACTGTTTTATTTTT